GCCCCGGTCCCGGCCCCGGCCCCAGCCCCACGCAGCTGGCAGGGACGATTAAATCCGTCCTCTGTAGGGTTTCGTTAATTTTCTCCGTACCCGTCGACCTGGCCCACGTGGTGTCACGTTCAGCACGTCGAGAACCTGGGGCAGGAGCTGAACACCCGCAAACGTGTGAACACAAACATGTATATTACTAAAACTGTCAGCATCCTTTACCCTGTTTCTCCTCTTAAACCGCTATTCTGGGTTTTTACACATGGCTGTTTTCAACCATGTACTTTAAGTCTGGTTCCTCTGCAAAATCCCGGCAGCCAGCAGGATTGGAGCCTGTCCTTGTGTAAACCTTTTTCTTCATTCTTGTAAGGCTTTGGCAAGCCGTGTTACACTTCTTATATATATATATATATCTATATATCTATATATCTATATATAGATATAGATATATATATATATATATATATATCTTTGAGACTTTGACAGCTAGACTTCATTTATGTTTTATTACTGCATATATTTTCACCTCATGGCACGCATCCTAAGCTTCCAGGTGCACTACTAGATCATTGTATGTAGTACATAAAAAGCAATCTGATTTCTTAATAAACTAAATATCCTCTATAATTTTTCAAAGTTTAAGTATTGGCAAAGGACAGGAATAAGGGTTTGGTCCCGGTGTTTAATTACAGAAGACTGAAAACTTTTCAAGTGTCTGCATTTATGCCACAAATTCGTGGGTGCTTGTGATATCCTGGGAGACCAGGAGTTAAAAGCTATTTGGAAGTTAACTTGCTCTAAGAGTATAAAAGAATCCTCCGTGGCTTTAGTTCCGAAACTATGTTTGGAAATGCGCTGTATCTGTCCTAAGAAAGCTCTTCTTAGGAGACAAACTTCTTGCATGTTAAATGAGGTAAGTACACAAATGATCTCTCTATTTCATTCAGCGTTTTGCAAGGAATATTATAACCATTACAGTACCACCAGCAATAAAAGATAAACGATATGTATTAGCACTGCATGTCTGCATTTTGCTGTTTACTCTTCAAACTGCTGGGGTGTTTAAATTCAGCAAACCAAGATTCAGAGCATGAATCATTTTTTTCAGGCAGCGTGTAAATAGCTGTTTTGGCACCACTGCTAAAGAGACTGAGGTCAAAGGACAGTACAGACTGTCCAGTGCTGTAAAATACAACTGTACTGCTTTGTTTAGTAAATTACTTACTATGATTAAATATCTGACGGCTTCTAAGTACAGCAGTAATACAGTTGAGTGTTGAAATAAACAGTTGCTCTGTATTAACTCTCTGTGAGGTTCAGCAAATCTGTGTGCATAAGCTGAAACATAAAGAGTAACTTTTGTAGGAAATATATTACTGGCAAAACTTGGCTGGATAAGTCCTATGTTTAGCTTTCTTTTCTTGAACCTACAGCCTGTGTTATAAAGCCTCTTCCAGGCACTAGCCAAATACTCTCTCAGTCACTTGAGTATCATCTTAATAAAAAGGAACTGTGGAATAAATATTTACTCTCTTGGACTGTAACATTTTTTACATTTATATCACGCGTAGGATACTGATTGCAAATATTTCTGTCATTTACAGCAGTAAAACTTACTTTCTGTTTTTAAGACCTTTTATTCTAACTGATACTCAAAATGTTTTGATCCTCATGATGGAAGTTTTTACGGCTCTTTGGCTTAAGTTTCAGAAGCCTATCTGAATGCTTTTGGAAATGGAAGAAGTCCAGTTGTCAACTAAGGGTTTTTTTGGGGGGAGGACACAACTATTGTCTCATTGTGGTCTATATCTATTTCCTTTTTAATAAGAGGTTGCAGAAATTAAAAGGGCTGTCACTGGCAAAGTTGTTTTGATGTGTTAGAGGTCTGTGTTGGCAGATCCCAAGATAGAACTAGAGCCAGGAACACTAGGTAAGTCAGTCATGGATAAATTACACTTTAATTTCAGCTAGTGTTCTTTCTAATCACTGTTCTTCAGATACTATGAAACAAAAAAGGTCCTACAAGCAACAACATGCTTTGAGAAACTCAGCTGTTCTTGGTTTTTTGTTTTTTTTTTTAGATGAAAGTGCTTGATGTTTCGGCATTATGTGTTGATCTAAAGCCAAGATATGATTCATATTTTACTGGGTTTGCTCACTTCAAATAATTCTGCCCTTGTATACAATAATGTTTACATAACTTCAAACATACATGAGTATCCTTGTTAGACCTAGTTTGCAAGGCAAAAATGTGAGAGATATTTAAGTGCATTATTAAAGTTTACATTAAAAAAGCCTTTTCATATTGTCAGTAGTACAAGATTTACTTATATATCATGTATTAATGGAGATTGCCTGGAGAAGTTAACTTTTGAACTGTGTAACAGTACCATTAACAGACATGGAGATACTCCTAAATATGGTAAATGAAGGGGAGGGCTCCTAGAGAGGGAGGAGTGTCAGGTTAGCAACTCCCAGCCTTGCAAGGGGAGTTGAAAACTGTTAGAGAAATATTAATTCACTCACATTCACATCTGACCTGAACAGGCTTAAAGAATTTCCTATTGAAAGAGAATATTTATTTTTTTTTGGAGACAAAAGTTTTACTTTATCATTATTTTCTGTTTTGCTCTCAGCAATTCTTAGAGCTGCTGAAAAGCATGACTTCCTCTTCCGTTGTTGATAAACCTCCGGTAAGACGGGTTGCTATCTTCGGGGGAACTCATGGCAATGAGTTATCAGGGGTATTTTTGGTCAAGCACTGGCAAGAGAATGGAGCTGAGATTCAAAGAACAGGAATGGAAGTGAAACCATTTCTTACCAACCCAAGAGCTGTGAAGAAGTGTACTAGATACATTGACTGTGATCTGAACCGTGTTTTTGACCCTGATAATCTTGGGTAAGAACAGTTGTACTTTCTGTTGTTTTACTTTTCTGTTTTTCAAAATTGTAAGGAGATTCCTTTCCAGATTAAAAATGTTAACACAAGTTCCACGACTATTTTAACTGTGCAGTCACATAACTGAAATTACTGACCTTTAACCCAAAAGAACAAATTGCATGAGTGTAAACAAATTAATTTTAAAACTGTTGCTAGTAGAGTCTCAAACCAACACATCATCTTAAACACAGAATTTAAAATTAGATAGCTGTATTTGTGTAAACTTAGGTAGTGTTGTTCTGACTTGCAAAGTCATTACTTCTCACTTGTCTTGTGCAATTCAGCTTTGGAGCTCTTCTGAATACAATTATACTTGCAGGAAGATAGCAGATAAAAGCAAATTAAGGGTAGACTTCTGAGCATCTGAAAGAATGGCATACAAATCAGGGAAGTGTATTTCATTTCAGTTATACGGAGTAAAATATGAAAACTTGAAATTAGCTAAGTTAAAAATAATGTATTCTATGGCAAAATGATAGCCAAAAAGTCTCAAAAATTTAACTGACTTATATTAGAAGAAATACAATCTATAATTACTGTAAAATAGTAATTGATTTTACATTTTTTATGGGATTTTATGGTTTTCTGCTTTTGAGACATCTATTCCAGAGGTGTACTTTGCCATATAAACATTCTTATGCCTGATATAGTCGCATGCTAAACAGGTAATTATGTTTCAGAATGGTTTTAATGGTAAAGGTGAATATCACTGAAAGATGTATCACATGTATCTGGTAAACACGGTTATTCTTACCCTGCATATCTTTTAATTTGGCTTTTAATTTTAGAATTTTGTTGTTAATTATTATATATAAGATAAACAGACTTTTAAACACATAAGTATTGAGGCCATTGTTTTAATTGCTTGCTTAGGACAAACGTATGGAGAAAAAAAAAAGTGGTTTTGTTTTCAGCTGTTTTGAACATAGAACACTTGAAAAAATAGCAGATTAAGACACCTGCTGGTTGTCTTAATTTTTTAACTAAGAAAACAATTTATGTTTCATAGAACATAACACAGAACATTTGAAAAAAATAGCAGATTAAGACACCTGCTGGTTGTTTTCATTTTTAAACTAATATTCCTCAGTAAAGCTGCCCAGTCCTGTCACAACACTACTGACCGGAATACCTTCACCTGGTCACTTTTAAGTGTAGACCCTTCAGGATTACAAATTATTTTAGAAAATAATAGAAAGGGGAATGAAATCCTGATACTACTGAATGTAATTGGCTTCAATGAGAAGTATTAATTTAAGAGTCTTATGTGAGGAAACCTTGAATTTCAAAGACAGAACTAAAGAATACAAAGGTAGATTATGTGATACACAAAATCATAAAAATAGAAAAAGAAGCTTAAGGGGCTCACATAAAAATTGCAATCCACCTCACATCCCACCAGTAGATCAACGGCATGTGAACGTTCCTAATAGATTGTGTCTTCTCATTTCTAATACTCCAGCAGTGGTGATCCCATAATTTTCCTCAGCAACCTCTTTTAATGCTTAAATATCTATGCAGTTAGTAAGGTGTTTAGTATTCAACAAAATTTTCTTAACATCAGTACTTATTTCAGAATTAAGATATTACAAAGCTTGAGATACATTGACAAAGAAAACTGAATTTAGTGCCAAAGATACTAGGTGTGTCTACATTGTACTTGGGTAGTATCCCAAGCTTGTAATCAAAACTAGATTTGCTGTTTTTGCAGAACAAGTCTGAACCTACCGCAGCTTTGTACACTGTTTAAGATGTAAGATAGATGTCTTTATGTGCACATTTATGTGCCCTTACACAGACAGGAAGCAGATCTCAGACCTTTCCTTAGGCTGAGACTGTTTTTTTTAAAGCGTAGTACAGACATAATCACCTGAGATTACAAGTATTGAAGCTTCAGAGGAATACATTTGAAGTAGCAAAATCTTCTCTGAGTTTTGAAGGTCAGCATAGCTCAAAACAATAGGTTATAAAAGGCTGAAGAGAAGGCAAGAAATAAAGCAAGTTACAAAAGACTTTGAGTGATGTCCACAGTAAAAGGGCATGGACCGGTATCTGAATACAGTCTTCAGTAGGAGGTGGATCCAGCCTTGGAAGTGGTTTAAGTGGTTGATAAATTTTGAGTTAGTTTTCTGCACAGGGGAAAATTTTGGATGTAAAGAAATAAGACAGAAGTAAATAGTCTCCCGCTAAAATCAGATCGAAAAATTCTTACTACCTACCTGCACAAGATACATAATAGTAAGACCTGTTTAACAATCATGCTTGCTTTTTTCGAGCACAAATTCATCAAGTTTTAACAGTCTGGTAATTAAATAGCTGATTTCAACTCCAGTCAGTTATGGAATTAAAGTAAAAAGAAAAGGGGATACATATTTTGTTGACTGTAAAGCCATGGAATGAGTTTACTAATTTCTTTGTACTGATATTAACAGCAGGACAGTGGTGGAAGATATTCCATATGAAGTGAGAAGGGCTCAGGAAATCAATCATATATTTGGTCCAAAAGGTAGTGATGATGCGTATGACCTTATTTTTGACCTTCACAACACCACTTCTAACATGGGTGGTACCCTTATTCTTGAAAACTCCAGGGATGACTTTACAATTCAAATGTTTCATTATATCAAGGTAAAACTAATTTAAATGAACTATTAAAATAGATTTTAGTTGTAATGTTGTATTACTATATATTATTTTGTAGTTTCTTTAAATATACTAATTTTTATTCTGCAAAACTGTTTAAAATATTTAATCACTCATAGGACTATTTTTTTTTTAATCAGAGATAATTAATAATTTGATTGTAATATCAGGTAATTCCTATTTGAACTCATCATAATCTTCCTGTATTAAACTGAGTGTTAGTAAGACTGATGGGCAAAGAGGAGTGCTCAGAATAACAGCTATGAAATGAATGCAATTTAATCTGCTTTCACACTGATCTGTCAGGAACTTAGATAAATTTGGGTCACACATGCTAATTTTATGAAATACAGATACGTACAAAATTATGGAACTAGGTAATGACAAACGTGCCCTTCATCAGTATTTATAGGAATAGTGATATGTCTTTAGAAGGTGTTTAATTCTGCTGTTCCTGAAGCTGATAAGTATTGGTAGAGTGAGGTTTGCACAAGTGCTGGCTTGAGTGTAATCTGGTTGAAGTACTAGTGACCTAGACAATGACTGATGAAATCAAGGTTAGACCAGCGGTGTGGAATTTTAATTTTTTTTCCTTAGAAACAAGGTATATTTTAACATTTGATATTTTTTTTATTACCTGTATCCCATTTAAATGTTTATAAAATATTTGAAGATACAGAAAGCTTATGATTAAAATGATATGAAGAGCCAATCGTAGGCAGTCATCAGGAAAGAGGCCTGAAATATGTTCCTATGTGAAAAAATGGTTAAACTAAGGCTTAATTCACAGTCTACGTCCCCATAAGAGAATTATTAAGTCTAACGCAAAAAAAATACTTGAAATCTGCTTTACAGTATTTTCATTCTAAGTTTTGGAACACTGATAAGTAGATTTTTCTTAGCGGTTTAAGACTTGAACTGTGTTCAGTTATATTAAGAGACAGCAAAGTTCAGTGGAGCATGCCTGGCATGAGTTAATAGAAAGGAGACCAACAAATACAGCTTTGTCTCTTTTCTAAAGATGTCCTACTTCTTTGAGGGCCATGAAATAAAGGCAACATATTGAAGACATTGTGTAAATCATTTCTGCATCAGTAATCTTTTGTGGCACAACATTTTAAAATATTTGCATAACAAAGAAATTTTTAAACAATCTCCACAGAACGCTTTGGCTCCAGAACGCTGTCCTGTTTTGCTGATTGAACATCCCAGCTTGAAATACGCAACAACTCGATCTGTAGCAAAGCATCCTGTTGGTAAATATGAAAAATAAAGACTATTCTAACCCACGATAAATTATTTTAAAATATGCCTGTTTCCAGATCTGTTCATTTCGTTCTGTTATAGAGTGCTCTGATCACCAGGAGCTATTTGACAATATATTTACCAAATCAAATGTATATGATTATCTCTTCTTGTGAAGAGTTCTGATTTATACTTGGCTTACAAAACACAGAAACCAGATGGAAATTGTTAAACTCAGTTAACCCACTATTTGCAGAAAATATTTATAATGTATGAGGATAAGAAAGAAGTAACAGCTTCAGAAAGGAAATGTTTGTATCCTCTAAATAAGCTGAACACTGGTTGTTAGACAAGAAGAGGAAAAGAGAAAATACAGTAAAGGAAGGGGGAAATGATGTTCTGTACAGAAGTGGTTAATTTTTTCATTTATGGAATCCTAACCATAGGAAAAAAATAATTTGTTTGCTTTTCATATTAAACAATGAGTTTTCTAAAATGCAACAGGGAAAGATAGGATGAGGAAAAGAATGAGAGAAACTATCTGTAGTGACCCTTTCCTTACCCTGGTAACACACTCAAAAATGTACATACAGTTCTTTAAACTGATCCTGACCTGTGAGATAAATTTTCTGCTTGCCTTAAAAATTGCATAATGCTGTGCTTTACAATTCCTCTTAAACATAAAACACAGACCCAATCAGGTATCTGTTTTTGCTGTGTAATCTAAGCATGTGATATATTATGGCTAATTATGGCTAATAATTAATAATCTCCTTCATCTGCAAACAGGTGTGGAGGTGGGTCCCCAGCCACAGGGTGTTGTTAGAGCTGATATTTTGGACAAAATGAGGAAGATTGTCAAACATGGCCTTGATTTTGTGCAACTTTTTAACGAAGGTAGAGTAAGTAGAGAATATAGCCTCCTGTGTCATATCAGTGGACTATTTCAGGAGAATATTTTTTTAAAAAATAGGTTGGGCTACAACATTTTACAGTTGAACAAGTAAAAGGGGGCAGAGGAGATTGTTCTCTAGACCACCTAAGTGTGGCATCAGAAAGTTAGAATTTCTGTATAGCTCCTTTGGGTAGCTTTAAGGCTATTTCCTCTTTCTGAAAATGCAATAACTATATGTGATCTTAATCTTACAGTTGCTTTGAGAATCTGAAATACTAGCTAACATTTTTATTCTGTGCATTGTTATCTAAAAGTGAAGTCCAAAAAATTTGTAAGATTTTGCTATACCTGTGTATTACCTAAAATACATACTGACAAAAATAGGTGTTTAAAATTCTGTTAGAGTACATTTTGTCAGTGGGCTTTTTTTGGAAGTAGAAGGAAAAAAATATAGCTGTGCATGTCAGCATCTCCATTGTGCTGGAATGTAAAGATTAAATAACACTGATATAATTCTGGGTTGTGCAGCACTGTCAAACACAGGCCTTTCAGTCATTTCTTCATCTAGAAAATACATCTTTTTAAGTATAGAGTGAAAAGGCACATTTCAGCAGCTAATTTAGATCTGGGCTTCATGTACTACAATACATGACTGGACCATCTTTCTGCAATTTGGGTTTGAGGGGGCAAAAAGTCTGGAGCTAGACATTTTTATGATATATGAGCTAATCACTAGCATGTAAACTTTGGCAAGGTATAACCTGATTTAAGCCATTCTCAAGAGAATAAATAATGCATTGTTCTTTTTAACAGGCAGGTGTTCATTTTGACATTAAATTACATCTACTTTTTCTAGGAAAGGAATTTCCACCATGTACAATTGAGGTTTTTAAAATAATGGAGAAAGTAGATTATCCCAGGAATAAGAATGATGAAGTTATTGCTATTATTCACCCTAAACTGCAGGTAAATTCTAAAAATGTTGCAATTTGTGATATTTTATAAGTATTCCTTTGTTGCTTTTGCTATATTATAGTATATTTTATTAGCAAATATTTACAATTACAATACTGAATACTTTAAACCTTCCCTATAGTAAGTTCTGTCACTGAGGTCATACAGTATTTCAGTAACTGACTTGGGATTCACTGTATCTAACATCACTTTTGAACCTAAAACTGAAAAGAAAAAGGCTATCTCATATTCTTATATAAGGATAGCTTATATTCTAAAACATACATCTAATTTTGAATTCTAAAGGGAGGTTCTTTTTTTAATCAGTTGTGAGCATATGCAGTTTCCTTTTAGTTCACCATTATCAGTGAATTCTGAAAACGAGGCCAGAAACCTGAAGTTACATGCTGAAGATTAAAAGGAATCCTTTTAACAGCTTTTGCCATAAACTGGAGAGAATATAATTCTGGAGCATAAACTCAGAAATCACATGAAATACACAAAAACTTGAAAGTAAATATATCTATTTATTTTCTTTCTCTAAGGATCAAGACTGGCAGCCACTGAACAATGGTGATCCTCTATTTTTGACTCTTGGTGGAGAAGTAATTGCATATAAAGGGGACTGTACAGTCTACCCAACATTTATTAATGAAGCTGCATATTATGAAAAGAAGCAAGCTTTTGTAAAAACAGTGAAAATGAAACTCACTGCAAAACACATCAGATCCTCAGCCTTAGACCAGAACACTTCTTAAAAGCTTATTACAGATTTTCAATGCAAAAAGTAGATTTCGTCTCTTGGGAAATCCAGTTTCATTCAGTAGTAATTAATGGAATAAATAAATGCAGAATTTAATTTTAAACTGTAATTTAATTAACATTGCAGAGCACTTTTAAGATGAAACATACTGTCATAATGCTAATTATGACTACTGTTTACTTGTTTTAATAGATTACTATAGATGCAAATAATAAATCTTATTTTTATGAAGATTGTTATTTCACATTATATAAAATGAACAATGAACCACATATGGGTTAGTGGCTATCAAACTTATATCCAGCATCATATAGAAAGATGCTTATATGCAAAACTACATTATATTAAAAAATTACAACATTTCTACTTTATAACCCCAAGCCTCCAATAACCAACTCTTTTTAAAATGGGGTGATCCTTGAAAAGAATTCCTTACAAAAATGTACAAAATATGAGACAAAGGAAAAGCTAGGGAGGGAGAAACACAGTGAGGGTATGTATATTAAAATTCTTTTATATTATCTGCATTTGTGACTAACCCCTATGCGAAGTGGAAGCCTTACAGTTTGTTTTGTTTTTCTTTTTATACTTAGAAAGATAAAAATAGCTAAAAATATACTATTTCTAAGAAAAATACACTTTTTAAAGCTTTTTTTAAAGCATTGCAAGATTAACTCAAGCTGTTTCTGATTTAACATTAATTTAAAGACAAAAATGTTGGAATTTAGAAAGTATCTAGTAGTTGGAAACATACTGGAGCAATATTCAAATTCAGGAAAAAGATATGTTTACCCTGCAAAACTTCTGAAAAAAGTTTCTATTCCAATGGGGACAAGAGAAGTTTACAGCTTTATAATTTTCTAGGTGTATCCACCTACTGCATATAAGATTTCCCAAATAAAATTTTAATGAAGTTGTACCCCAAAAGTTTTCAGTGAAGGCAGCAAACTCAGGTTTTGATGAAGAGCAATGCACGAACCATACCTGAGTAAGTATTTCCAGAATGGAAATTAAAAAGAATTCCATATGGGGAGACTTCTCAGAATTTTGAGTGACTTGTTCTGGTTTTGTATAGAGAAAGCCTGTCACAGTAGCTGAAAAAGAGAAGAAAATGGGGATTTAATTAATGTTTTAAAGTTGTTTTTAACATATTTGACAATAAGTGGGGATAAAGAAAACAATAAAAACTTTCCATAAGGATACAATAATTAACTATTTACCAAAAGATTTATTGTCTAGATAGTCCCCAAACTATATCTTTTGAAAAACGATGTCTTCCTTATTTACTACTAAGCCAAAATCCTTTTTTCCTTGCTTTGTGTATCTCCTACGGCAATAAAATGAAAACAAAGGACAGAATGTTTATTGAATTACAAGGTTTATTTCTTTAATTTAAATAAACATTGTATAAAAAGTACAGAATTATCTGCTCTAGTCATTATTCATAGTGTTCTTGATAAGAGCCTTGAGATAGGAAATGGCACGTGTGGTCTGGCAGGGCTCTGTGGCCGCAAAAGGAGGGTATTTTTTCAGTGAAGAACTTTTAGAAATAACCCTCCAGGTTCCTCCTCAGTTTTGTACCTGGACATTGGCACAGCACATTCTTTACTTTTTTTTGTGCCTTCCCTGTTTTATGGCTACACCTACAGAGTGACCTCAGTACAGTGCAGAGATATCTGAACTTGTTTTCAGTGACAAGTCTACGCGTAGCAACACTGAGTACAGCACAGGCTACTTTAGTCTGGTTCCTGAGTATACATGAAGAGGTTTTTTTTTTTTTTTTACAAAAACTGGCACTCAAAAGAATACAAATGGAACGTCATAGTCCTAAGGCAATATTCTTTGTTGGCAGTTTCAATGCAAAGTTAACCAGCAAAGTTGAAAGACTCCAAGACCACAGGAATTTTTCTTCTCATACTCACATACCCTACACTAAGAAGGCCAGACAATGCTTAGATATTACATTGGTCTAACGATACACGCAAGTGTCCTTCCCCTCAAATTCCTATGCTCTGTAAAAACGTAACTGAAGATTTCATTTTGATCCCATCCATCTAGTCCATACATGGTAGGAAACCCAGGATACAGCATCTACAGACGACCGGTTGGGTAGCGAGAAACGTGTTCACCATTCCTGCACAAAGCTTTGCACTATCCTTTCTGCTGGAGAGTTCCCTCATGCTCTCTTCTGCGTTAAGAAAGTCTTTTGGATCATTTTGCCCACAGCAGGCTTAGCTGTAAGAATCCAATGCAATTCATATTATCATTCAGATGCAGAACAGAATTCACCAGTCTTTCCTAAGCAGCACCTTTAAAACAGGCACTAAATGAATATATATGATGAAGACCCATGACACTGAAGACATATAATGTATTCATTGAAATTTAAAAGTACATAGAACAATTTTTTTTTTATATACATACACACATAAAAAACTAAGAATATAATTCATAGTACTAGGTCAACACAGGTAGTGAAATAAGTGCTACAGAAATGCATTATGTAGTCCTCTGAATTAAAAAAAAAAAAAGCTTTTTAAGAGTCTGAAATTGCATTGCATTTAATTTATGTTGTTAGTTTTGGGAAGAAACACTGTCTTCTTATTTTCCTGAAGTGGTTGAATATAGAAATTATTTTAAACTCAAAAAACTTGTGATGCGATAATGTTTTTTTTAATGCAGCAAGATGCAACAGCATAGAAAAGCTGAGTAGGAAAAGTGAAGACCTTGTGACTGGAACAAACTCGGAAATACTCTCCACCATGAATTCTGTTTCTGCCCTATTATTTTATGGGAAGGCCTATATACATAGTAATAAATAAAAAGCAGTAAACACCACATTATACCCTAGGGATTACATACAGGAAAAGCTGCTGAGACCTGAAGAGGCTTTCAACTTGCAGGATCAAGCCTCCAATAACACTGACAGTCAATACAAAAGTTTCAAATGTATCCAGAACATTGCTATTTCACAATAACATACTTCATTTAGTAATCTTCAGAATTGAAATGCCTTTCTTTTCTCACGACAAGAACTTAACTTTTTTCAGTGTACAAAATGTTTCTCATGAGTTAAGAGATTCCAGAAGACAGCAGATTGGGATCACGATGATCTTAATTTTCCACAAAAGGAAGAAATATCTCACATTTGACCTTTTTTATCTAGTAAAGAGTTGAGAGCCAAGTTTGAGTAGCATCACACAAACTTGGACAGCAACAGTTTTTAAGAGGCTCAAAACTGAACCAGGGAAACAGTCCATTTGATTTTAGATTAGCTGCCCTGATAAAATGGGTTAAAGTCATCAGACCATGTTACTGAAAGTTTGTGTTCCAGCTGGTTGCAGCTGTCCAAAATATCAGCAAAGCTTTCAGCATCCACTGCTGATGCTTTTAACCTTCAGAATGTCCACATATCAAATACAGCACAACTAAACAGAAGTTTCAGGCAAATCATCCATTTCTTCAAACGTATTCAGGGTGTTTTTGCTATTAGTTCTTGAATTATCTTGAACTTTGCTTGGATCTGAAAAAAAATGCATTATAAACAAAACAGGATATGGTAGAAACTGTATATGCAAGATCAAAGCTTTGCACATTTTTTTTTTTTTTTTGGTTAAAAAACATGCATTTATTTACACAGCAAGTTGTCAGTTTACTACCATATCTTATACAGAAATTTTTCTGTCTGCCCCTTTTCATTATTACCGAGCTCATTCTACTAAGCAATATAAATGCTAATTGACTCAAGAACAGACTTCAGGACATGTCTCCCAGATCCTCATATGCCCCTATAGTAAACTTGGATGCCTGCTGCCAGGAGGACATCTGACACCTCAGAGTTAGGTCATTTCTCTATCACACTTCCAACACCGTCAGCAGATGTGTATCTTGAATTTCCTGGTCAACATTCATGAGAGGCAATTTGTCATCTGATATAGATTGCAAAACATAAACATGAATGTTCTAGGGTTAAAAACAGCAGACTATGGTATTGTCTAGTAGAATCAGTTTGATTTCTTGCCAAATTTTGCAATCCTATATGTAACTGTTTTAAGGACTAAATGTCCTTTATGACAACTTCTTCAAAAGAATATTTTGTCTATTAAAAAATTTGCCAGCCTTATACCATTCAAATGCCATAAGAGAATGGAGAACTTAGATCAAGCATAACTGCTTAGAGAAAAATAAAGAAAAGGTAAAACCACCGTGTTTTGGCACCAGGGTGTAAATAATGAAAGTTTGTAACCCTCTCTCCCAATCTTTAAACATAATTTAACACCTCTACCATATTAGCCATGGGTTTGCCTGGCAGTAAAGTGTGGTTGAATATCTAGATTATGAGAGCTTATATTTGTAAATGTATAAAAATATATCAAAAGATTTTGAAGGAAAAAACTATTTCACAAACAATGGTGTTGTAAAATTCTGCAGTACCTGTTGGCCCTGGATCTTCATTAATAAATGAAACATGTGTTTTCCATTCGGTCCATTTCACTTCATTAATCCTGTTTATATTGTATATAAGTTGTGTTATTAGCATGCATTATCTCCCAGCTACATAGCTGCACTTCCTCTTTTATATCTTTATTTGTTCTTGGCATTGTGATACTTTACCATCAACACCTGCTTTGCTACTACTAAAAGGCTGAATGTCTTTTGCAGTGTTATGTACTATATGAAGATGGGAGTAATACTAAGATTACTTTATAATTTCATACATTATGAGTGCAGTCTTGAAATTCACCTTAAATATTTAAGTTTTTTTCATAAGACAGCATAGAAATGTATTCTTTAATATGGTAATCATCGATTAGCAACATTTTAAATATAATTACTTTTAAGCTAACATTCAGAGGAGATTATGACAAAGCTACATTGACTGCAAGCAGACTTTGATACTTGTACATTAAAAACATATGAAGTTGAAAACCTGTTTTCCTAAAAAAAAAATCTACACTAAAAATAGTATACATCTTCCCTGTTTTTTTAAACAATTTGTTACGACTGAAAAGAACAAATTGGATTTTTGTACACCTAATATAATTTGTAGAGATGTACAAATATTTTAAAAAGAGGCTTTTGAGGATAAATAACCTTGAAGAAATATACAGAGCAGCATTGATAGCACAGTATTCTAGTTTTGCTTTACCTTAAACACACCCTGGTGTCATTTTCAGCCACTTTACACCGTTCTCCCAGTTGGAATTTTTTCCTCAAACATTTTGGTAAGAATTTCTCAAATTCCAAAATAGTTCTGGCTCTCTATTAACAATAAATAGTAATACGAGTATGGTTAACCATATTCAGAATGGTATGGGTTCATAGCATATACAGTTTGCAGGCTCCATGTTTTGTTATGACTCGTCATGTCTCCATCCACCATCCAATAACCAACTCCAATTCCAACAACAGCAAATAACATGGTGTGCCACGTATTTGACCTGCATAAATAGGGAGTCCACAGCTTTCTCCAGCTAGCCCCACCGCAGGCAAATGCAGAGAAGAATCAAGAAATCTCATGCTAGTCTCAGTGTTCAGGGTGTACCGCCAACACCTTCACACAACACCCTGCCATGGGGTTATATATAACCT